TTGTCGCCCAGTGAGCTTTGGTAGTGCTAGAGGAGGATTAACCACTGGAGTCAACTTGTACATTGCAGCAGCAAGTTCTCCTAGCGCGGCTGCTGCACCCGCCACTTGTATATGACCGACGTTACATCGCTTGAACTATCGCTGTCGTTGGAGTCCTCAATGCTGCTCATTCTAAAAGACAAATGGGTCAGAACGATAACATATGCAATTACAAAAAAAGTTGAAACCCATCTTCCTCTTACTCTTCTGCGTGCGGCGCCGAGGTGAAGGCCGCCGGCGTTGAGGTGGAGCGGGCCAGCGTCGGCACAGATCAGAGTAGAGCGGGCCTCGCCCACCGCCCCCACCGAGATCCACGGGTAGCCGCCGCCGAGATTGACGCCCAGCTCGAGAGGCGGACGGTAGAGCTCATGCCCTCCCTCCTCTTCCCCTACATCGGCCCGGAGGCCGCGACCCGCCTTCATCTTCTTCTCAAACGGCGCGGAGGTCGCACCCTCCTTCCTCTTCTCCACTTGGTGGAGGCCGACCCCACCTTCACCTTCTCCTCTGTCGGCCCCCATCGCCAGATCCGTCGCCGACGAGGCAAGCGCGGGGCTCGGTGAGGCGAGCGCCGGGCTGTGGGCATGGTTCTCGAGAATTTCGGCACAGCTGCGCTTGATGATGTCTGGCACCACCGTCGCTTTGCATCGAGGGAGACCTGGCGGAGAGGCGAATCGGCCATCTATTTCGAGAGCGACGATGTTGCTGCGGTGCCATGAGACGCCCAGGAACGTGCAGTGATATGAAGGTCTTTTTGGTTTTCTCTTTGGTTTACGCATCCACTCCTAAAACGACTGTCTTTTTAGGACGGAGTGAGTGCACAAGAGGCCAGTACCCATAACATAGAATTGATACATACTATGGGCCTGTTTGGCATGGCTCCAACTCCACACAGAGCAGCTCCACTCCAGAAATCCAGCCGGAGCTGGCTCTGAGTGGAGTTGGAGCTGTCTGGAAGGGGTGTTTGGCTAAATTGATACTTTGAGCTCTAGAGTTGTGTTTAGACAGTGTTGTTTGCCCATTTTGCCCTTGCACAACGTACTGATCCCAGTAGCTTATTCGTTTGCACAAGGACATCTCGTACTCGTACTACTACTAGCACAAATCAAGGTATAAAATAAATTCCAACAACATATAAGATAATCTGAAATAATAATTCTTAGATAATCCAAATATTTCTTAGATAATCCGAATAATCCATGAAATCAAATAATCCGACATACACGTCCAACCAAATAATCCAAGATACAAAGTTTAAGAACATGATTACATTAATTCCAAGCTAATGCAATGGATGTAGCCAAACTATCACGAAATGTGTCCATGGTCACAAAGCTTGCTTCATTAGTAGACGTATCAGAGGCATGGCGAGACACAGCATACTTGTTGTACCTTTCCGGGATAGTTGGCACAAAGTTCGGATCTCGATCAAATCTAGCAAAGTCCACATCCCCACTAGCATGGTCACGTATGAAATTGTGGACGACCATGCATGCAGCTACAACCTTCTTTTGTGTTAGCATGGAAAAATGGGGCATCTTATAAAGAATTGGCCATTTCATCTTTAATAGTCCAAATGAACGTTCAATCACATTACGAAGATGAATGAATCCGATTGAACTTTTACTGTTGGAGTATTTGGTTCCATACCTCGATGCCACTCGGTAAATGATATCTTTCACCCTTGTATGGAGATAAGTAACTGGACGATTAGGATAGCTCAAGCGTCCACAACATAGTACTTGTCTCATGGATATGAAAAAAATAGCATAAGAATTGAGTTATAATTGACCATGCAAAATGTAAGTTATTTTTTTACCTTCGGGAGGATGCGAAGGCTGCTTATCCACTTCCATTGCATGGTACAAAGACACTTGTGTCATGATAAGCCCCCGGTTGCCCCGCAGACACATGTGAAACGCATATCAAAATCACAAATGGCAAGCACATTTTGAGTAGGAACTCTTGACTTTCCAATGTATCTAACTTGTTCCTCAGGTGAAAGAGACACTAGAATATGAGTTTCATCTAGTGCTCCTATGCAATCCTTGAAATGTGGCCATGCTCTTTTGTCATTTCTAATTCTCTTGTGAACTGACCGAAAATTGGGATCAATTGGTCTTATGTAATCCTTAGCCATTGCAATCACACAATCAAGAACTTCATGAAATTTCTTACTAATGGTTTCACCAGAATGCTTGAACCTATTTTGCCCTTTTCTATTTGTCTCACAGCCACCACATATAAATAAAAATATTGCTAGTGATTCATAAGTATTTATGAACTTGGATGGTTGCAAACCATAACGAGTAGTCAACTTATCATGAAGATCCAGAAAGATGCGCTCATTCATCCGAAACATTCTGTGGCATTCTCTTGGAGTGTTTAGGGTCTCAGTCACCCATCCCATTCCACTCAGCTGTGACATCCTTGGTGGTGCCTTGTCCATATAAAGGCTCACATAAGCCTTAGCAAAATTTGCACCACCTTGAATGAGAGAAAAAATTGATCGTCATCATCACTACTATCACCACTTTCACTTGAAGACATCTGTGAACCCTAGGTCAAATTATAGAAAAAATAAGGTCAACCATGTGACAAGCTGATGGACAAATAATTGTGAAACAAGAAAAAAAATGGAATAATACAATCTGAGTTCATTCATACGACAAGCCTTAAAACAAGTCTTAAAAATAATTGTCAAACATGGAATAATCTAAATTATTACAAGCCTTAAAACAAAGCAATGTAGCAAACGACACATCAAGGTAGCAAAGGATACATGAGACAAGCACTCCTACTTTGCAAGCCTGTCATTATATTTTCTAGTGAGCCAATTCTTCTTAATTTCATTAGTAGGTAAGGTCATGAACATCTCCCTTTGCTCCCTCTTGACAAACAATGAAGTGGCAATGTAGTGTTCATCGGATCCATACGCAGCACCACATTCAATTACTGCCTTCATCACTTCTTCAATAGTGAATTTTCCTTCTTTCTTGGCAGCATATGCACTTGCTGAACTAGCCATACTAGTGCATGCTTCTTGAATGAGGATTGCATTCATTGGCTGTCTTAGGCTTCTTGCCTGTAACATGGAAAGGCCTTGCCGGTCTCTTGCCACTACTAGGGGAAGGGGTAATCTCATCTAAATCCTCTTCTTGTGTCGCACCTAGTGCAGCAACTTCATCATCCACACGAACAACATCATCCACAGCCACTGTAGGAGTGTTACCACAAGGGTTCCAATGATCAGAACCAACATTCACAATGCCTTGGAAACAAATTGCTAATTCTTCTTCATTTTGAAGTGGTCGCTTCTTAAATTTCCCACACTGAATAGACCGAAAATATGCAAAATAGCAACACATATTAGAACAAATACTTATAGCTCTAGCTTTCTTCCACCATCAATTAATTTAAGAAGTAGGTGATATTCATAAAACAAGCACTTACAGCTTTAGCTTTGTTCCACCATTCATCATCCATATTAATAGTGCCATTATTCCAACCAATTCCTGTTTGCCCCATTGTTAGCTTTTTCCATGCCTTGAAATCTTCCTTCAGTTTGTCCCACTTGTTCTTGATTTGGTTCTTGGTCAATACAATACCCGTCCGATCTTTGAATCCTTTCTCAACCTCAGTATAGCCCACTGAATTCAAGAGTTTCCTTTCTCGACTTGCTCAGCCATCAAACCACAAAGGATCCGAAGGTTCTCTACGTTCCAAACAATTTCCGGCATCTATACCAACTCAACACAACAATTCGTAACATGACCTAGCACAGACAATTCTACACATCATGTTCTCCAAAACCATGAACTCACCGTTTTCTTAAAAAACACAACATAGAGATGGGGATGGGGATGGGGATACCTTGCAAGGTTGGGGGAGCGTCGGGGGTGCCTTCACGTCGCCCTTGTTCTCCTTTTCGCCACCACGGGTGGAGGAGGCGCCTTCTTCCCTTCTCTAGGGTTAGGGTTGAGGATGACCTTCTCCTTGTCTTCTCCTTCACCCGCCCGGGGGGGAGGAGGAGGGCGGGGAGAGAGGCGGAGCGGCCGGCCGGGCTGCCGTCCCCCAGAAGCGACGGCATGACAGTGGGCGCTTCAGCGTGAAGGCGCGCGGGTCGGGGAGTGGGCGCTCACGTGAAGGGGAAGGGGTCGGGGCAGGGAGAATAGAAAAAATAACGATTCACTTGTGTAACCAGTGGCAATTGCGGGTAATTTCACCCTAACTCCATGTCTACCTCTGTTTTGGCCGGTTTCGGAGCAGGAGAAGAGGTGCTCCATAAATTTGTATTGGGGCTCCAAAAACTCCATGGAGTTAGGCTGCTCCAATATTTTTTGGAGTTGGGGTGTTTGGCTAGCTCCACCTGACTCTGAGGTGGAGTTCGGCACTGGAGCCATGCCAAACAGGCTCTATATCTACCAAAAAAGCATATGATTTGGTACATCTGTATGATTTCCTTTTTAATTTGTTAGTGGAAGGACAACCAACCCCACGCACAATTCGAACTCACTCGAGAACACAACGCCAGGGCTACACTACGGATCTCAGCATTCAAATCTTGAACCTAGACTAGACATCTCCCACCACCAAATTCAAATCCTCGCTTTGCCGGGGGGTTCACGGAGACGAGACGAGACGAGACGATCCACTCGAGCCCGTCCGCTCCCGTATTTAAACGCCCACAAGCGAACCGAGCCCCACATGCCCGCCGCAGCCGCGCCCACCTCCACTCGAATTCAAAATCAAAAAAGAAATAAACCCGGCAGCCATAAATCCCCCACGCGATCCCGTCCCAATCCACCCATCTCCATTTCAAAACCGCGCAGGACCTTCGCGTCTCTTCCTCCCTCCCCTCCCGCTCTGCTCCGCTCCGCCCCAAAACCCTAGGCGGCGCCCGCCCGCAGCCCGGATCCCGCGTCCCGCTCCCCCGGCGCCTCCGCCGGTCGCCTGCTCCCCCGATGGACCCCGCGGGGCCGCGCGTGGCCACGGATCCCGCCGGATCGGGGGCTGCGCCGCCGCGCGAGGTCGGTGGGCCCGCCCGCCCGCGCTCTTCTCGCTCCGTCCTTGCTCTGGGGTCTTCGGATGCGCTGACGCGGTCTCCGTGGCTGTTCCTGCAGGAATTGGACGGGAGAGGAGGAGGAGGAGGAGCGTGCAGTGGCGCCGCAGCGGCGGAGGGGAGCGCGTCGCGGCTGGCGGGCGCTGGACTGGGAGGTGGGGCCACCGCACTTCGTTATGTTCCTCGCGCTTTCGTCCCCGATCCGTGCTTGCCCCCACGGCCATGCTTTTAAATCGGAATGAACTGGAGGAGAATCTGGTGTCGTTGGTTGGGGCTGTCGTTGTTCCTGAATTCTAAGCAGTTCCGCGCTCGCTAGTAGCACGAGAATTCGAGAATGTCACGGTGCGGTGCCGTAGTGGGTGTACACTCACTGTTGTGCACTGCCCGTGTGATAATATCTCTATGAATCAAATTTGAAATGGAAAATTCTTGTTTCTTTTGTCTGATAAGTCATTTGTTTTTACTTTGTGCTAAAACTTCATCCTGTAGATCCGAGGGCTGGAATTCTGGAATCTTTGGGTCAAGCTGAAGCATATTTGCACACATATACCATGGATGTTCCTCAGTTGACTGCTGAAGGTGCCACACAATGTGGAGATAGAGTGTCTTTATTGCCCCAGACTGGGGCACTTCAGTCAGAAACTCCTTGTCTGACCTTGGGCCGTGATTCCAATGCAGCATCAATGGAGAAGCTGCATGGTAATGAGTGCTTGCCATGTGGTAAGGAGAACATCGGAACAAATCTCCAACCTAAACCTGATCCAGAACATGTTGATAATAGGATGGGCGTTGCACGTCTTGGGTTGGACCTTAACACATTAGATAGTTCTGATGCAGCAGAGCTTAACCCTTTCTTCCCTTACAAGAAGCTGGGGCAGTCAAAAGTCAGCGATCCATCGGAATGTGGCAGCACTACTGATGCTACAGAAGAAAGCGAGTCGCACAGAAAGTGGAGAGAAATGAAGCAGAATGGCTTTCTTTCTTCGTCTCATGGAAATGCAGTGGTACCTAGGCCACGTGGTCGACCCCCGAAAAGGAAAAGGGATGACGAATTCAAAAAGAGCACTTCCACACAGCATGGCCAGGCTAACAAGTCTGTGAAGGTTGCTGCTCCTAGTGGCCTATTATCTGGGCTAAACCCTGGAATCATTAACCATGTGAGAAATAGCAAGCAAGTTTACTCCATAATAAAGGCTATGGTACACTCTGAGAGGCTTGAGAATGAGAACCAGCCTGGCTTTACTAGTCAAACAGGTGAAACAGGGAGAGAAGTTAGTGAGAGAATTCAGGATCAGAAATATGGTGGTGGTTTCATGAAGTGCCATTCGTTGATGAAAGATAATAATGCGGTGTTTCACCAAACACTGCCTACCACATTGCATTTCCTTCCACAGGATGGCGATAGTCTCAAACTGCAACTCTCATCAGCAGTCACTATGTCTTCAGATAGGACCTGCAGTACATCAGCTGATGATCCAGCATCTAATCATGATTACATGACTGTACTGTCAGTAAAAGGTATCCTTCCTTGCTTATTTAACAAACCATTTTGTGTAAATTTGCACTGGGTATTACTTCTGGAAATATCTGTCTCATAGTTTTCTTACTACTTTGATGATCAGCGGCCAGTGTTGCTTCTCAGTGGTTGGAATTACTGCATCAGGACATCAGGGGACGCCTTGCTGGTATAATTATGAAATCTGACGTAAATGATAAAGTTGTATTCATGCATTGTACTCAATACATTTTTTGTTTTTCTTGAAGCTTTAAAGCGCAGCAGGAAGAGAGTCAGAAATGCTCTTCACACGGAACTGCCATACCTAATCTCGACAGAATTTCCATCTAATCAAGAGAATGAATCATCCATTGCAAATATTTCCGAGGCTGGATGTACTGACAAAGCAGTTTCAGAAGAGCATGTGGCACGATGGAGATCTCTGTTTGCCCAGATGGACAGAGCACTTCAGGAGGAAGGGAAACAACTGGTGAGTCAAGATTGGATTAGTTTGTGTTATATAGGAGAGGGCTATGCCATCCGTCAATGTTCGTGTTGGTATATAGCTCTATTTATATTGCTTGTATAACATGCATCGCGTTTATGCTCATAGAGTATGTATATACACTATACATCTGAGTACCTGACTGCCTAGTACTCGTTGCAGGAGAAGCGGTTGAAGCAAGTGCAAGAAATGCAATTGAATTGTGATAAAGGCCTCAAACACATGACCTGTGAAGCTCCTCTGCTAGGACCTCTGGCTGAACTATGGTTAGTTCATCATGTCATTTGACCAAAAATGGTTTATCTTTCCTTGTTTTATTCATTCCACTTAATGCTTGAGCAAGTGTCTAACTGAAATATGTCAACATGTCTCTTCAGGAAGCTGAAGAACCCAGATATTACCGAGAGCGAGTGGGCGGTGCAAGCCGCTGCCGCATCAATCTACTCTACCTGCAACATGGTCATGAGAGCGGAGAACAACGTGCCTTGCTTCTGATCTCACACTTGTAGTTTAGTTTCTTGCTTTGCTGATTTTTACCTCAAAATTAGGTTTCCTTTCTTACCTTTAGCCTTTGTGAATTGTGATCCCTTGTCCATTACAGTAGTGGCGAGTGATGTAACAAGAAGAAACTTGCGATGTATGTTGTCCCCAGCCTACAATTTCACAGGCCCGTGAAATAACACATTCTTTTCATGGAGTTCAGAATCTTCAGATCTTACCGTTTTGGTTCGGTCAGATGGTTGAGATAGTGATTGCTATTTTGTCAAATGTTGAACTGGCATGGTCGATGTTCTGATTGGATGATTACACGAGTATTTTTTTTTTCTTTCCAGCTTTTTGGACTAGGGGAATTGCTCTAGGAAAATTTGAAGATGCTCAAATTATTTACAACATCCAAATCTAAACTGTGACAATTGCTTATATGTATGGTACTTTTTTCCCCCAAAATTATACGTGTTTTATTTTTCTAGACACATAGAGGTGTATAGTGAAATCTAATAAACTAGAAAAACCTAAAAGAATAGAACGAACTATATTTCGGAATGTGCATCCCATCGACCCATCCTCTATGTTTTTGGAACCTCTGCTATTTTCATGGCCATCTCTAGAAGGGATTGGCATTTTACAAGCTATTTGGTTTTACTGTTGGTAACGCAATGTAAATGATTTAAAGCTGCGAACGTTACAGGTGAGAGATATGATTGTACAAATTTTCTTTACATTGTGTTGCTGTGGAACCAACCAAACAACAAGTTAGAGTGAAGTGAGGTGTGCTTGTCCGATCTTCATGCCTCATTTAATCCTGACAATTCATTCATTTCCCTTTCTTTATCCCACACCCTATATCCCAGTATCCAAACGCCACCTGAAGACTTGAACATCTTCATCCGACTGATTAAGCACAAGCAGCCTGCCAGTACAAATGATAACCAAACGGGGAGGAAAAAAAAAAACTCGGAGCAAATCACTAACATTCCGGCCCCACCTAGCAGTGTCAGTGGACCGGGCCGTTGACCCCACCGCGCGCCCACCGGTCAGCCAGCCCGGGCCGGTTTAAACCTATCGGCCGCTGCGCACCCCCGCCGGCCGCCACCCTCCCATGTCCTCCTCCCCCTCCGCCGCCAACCTGCTCGCGCTCCTCCGCCGCAACGCCGCCTCCCCGGCAATCGCGCTCCGACTCTTCCTCCACCTCTCCTCCGCGGCCTGCCCTCCCCCGCCGCGCTCCACGTCGTTCCTCGCCCGCCTCGTCGCCGCGCACCCCGCCGCCGACGCGCTCCTCCCGCGCCTCCACCGCCACATCCTCTCCTTCCCTGACCCCTCCCCCCACCTCCTCGCGCTCCTCTCCTGCTCCGACGTCCTCCCGCTGCGCCTCGCCATCCCCGCCTTCCGCTCCCTCCGCGCGCTCGCGTCCGCGCCGCCGCCGCCCACCCCCGTCTACAACCGCCTCATTCTCGCCGCGCTCCGCGAGTCCCGCCTCGACCTTGTCGAGGCGCTCTACAAGGACCTGCTCCTCGCCGGCGCCCAGCCGGACGTCTTCACTCGCAACCTCCTGCTCCAGGCGCTCTGTGACGCTGGCCGCATGGAGCTTGCCCAGAGGGTGTTCGACGCAATGCCCGCCAGGAATGAGTTCAGTTTTGGGATCCTGGCGCGAGGGTACTGCCGTGCAGGGGGGAGCATTGATGCTCTTAAGGTACTTGACGGAATGCCGAGCATGAACCTCGTGGTTTGCAACACGGTGGTCGCAGGGTTCTGCAAGGAGGGCCTGGTGGAGGAGGCTGAGAGGCTGGTGGAAAGGATGCGTGTGCAGGGGCTGGCACCAAACGTTGTCACGTTCAATGCGAGGATCTCTGCACTCTGCAAGGCTGGGCGGGTGCTGGACGCTTACAGGATATTCAAGGACATGCAGGAGGATTGGCAGCATGGGCTGCCAAGGCCTGATCAGGTGACTTTTGACGTAATGTTGAGTGGGTTCTGTGATGCTGGGTTTGTTGATGAGGCACAGGTTCTGGTGGATATTATGAGGTGTGGTGGTTTCCTGAGGAGGGTTCAAAGTTACAACCGCTGGTTGTCAGGGTTGGTGAGGAATGGGAGGGTCGGCGAAGCGCAGGAGCTTCTGAGAGAGATGGCGCATGAAGGAATCCAGCCTAACAGCTACACATACAATATTATCGTCTCTGGGTTGTGCAAGGAGGGCAAGGCTTTTGATGCGAGGAGAGTAGAGAATTTCATTAGGAGTGGTGTGATGTCCCCAGATGTTGTGACTTACACTAGTTTGCTTCATGCCTATTGCTCAAAGGGCAACATTGCTGCCGCCAACAGGATTCTTGATGAGATGGCACAGAAAGGGTGTGCACCAAATTCATTTACTTATAATGTTCTGCTGCAGAGTCTTTGGAGAGCTGGTAGGACCACAGAGGTAGAACGGTTGTTAGAGAGGATGAGTGAGAAAGGATACAGTTTGGATACAGCAGGCTGCAATATCATTATTGATGGATTATGCAGGAATAGTAAATTAGATGTGGCTACGGGCATTGTTGATGGGATGTGGGAAGAAGGAAGCACAGCTCTTGGCCGACTGGGGAATTCATTCCTTAGTGTAGTTAGTGATTCTTCCATCAGCCAAAGATGTCTTCCTGATCGTATCACATATTCTATTTTGATAAGTGCATTGTGCAAAGAAGGCAGGTTTGATGAAGCCAAGAAGAAATTACTTGAGATGATAGCGAAAGATATTTCCCCTGATTCAGTTATATATGACACCTTTATTCACGGGTATTGTAAGCATGGAAGAACCTCTCTGGCTATTAAGGTTCTGAGGGACATGGAAAAGAAAGGTTGCAACCCAAACACAAGGACATACAACTTGTTGATTCGGGGATTTGAAGAAAAACATAAATCAGATGAAATCATGAAACTGATGAGTGAAATGAAGGAGAAAGGAATTTCTCCTAATGTGATGACCTACAATAGCTTGATAAAGTCCTTTTGTGAACGAGGAATGGTTAACAAGGCCATGCCTCTTTTGGATGAAATGCTAGAAAATGAATTAGTTCCTAATATAACTTCTTTTGACTTGTTGATCAAGGCTTTTTGCAAGATCACAGATTTCCCTTCAGTGCAGATGGTTTTTGATGCTGCTTTGAGAACATGTGGGCAGAAGGAAGTGCTCTATTGCTTAATGTGCACTGAACTCTCGACTTATGGTAAATGGATTGAAGCCAAGAACGTTCTAGAAATGGCACTTGAAATGAGGGTCTCTATCCAGAGTTTCCTGTATAAGCAGATAATTTCTGGGCTCTGTGAAGTTGGGGAGGTGGATCATGCACATAGCCTTCTCAAGTTGTTAATAGCTAAACGACATTTGTTTGATCCAGCAGCATTCATGCCAGTGATAGATGCATTAGGTGATAGGGGAAAGAAACAGGATGTTGATATGCTGTCAGCAAAAATGATGGAAATGGCTGACCGTAATGATGGTCTTGGAACTGATTCTGGTAGGATTACCCCTGGAAGCTGTAAGCATGAGCATGAAAGGAATGGTGAAAGTGATTGGCGTACTCTTTTGCACAGGTATCATCATGATCAACATTCTTTTGCTATGTTTTTGGGATTCTTCTTTTGTTTATTTGATTTTATGTTTCTTCAACACTTAGTGTATAACTTGCTGTTTCAAAATTTAAATAGGATATAATGTCAAAGAATATATTATGAGAACTGACAAAGACAAACTATTCTAGCAAGAAAATTAGTTCTTCACTTTTTTCCTTTGTTTCGTGTACTTGAGCTTCCAATTACTGACTACTATTTTTGATGTGCAGAGATGACAGTGCCCACACGATTATGAAAATTACAAAGAGAGTGAGGACAGGATGGGGTCAAAGAGGCAATGTATATGAGCATAAACAGCAACGGGGTGATGACTTTTATGTACTTGAGAACACTGGCTAAGTAAGTCACTCTTTACCCTGGACAATAGACATGCATGGAAATTCTTTGAGCTTTCTTGTAACTAGCTCGGGTTGGAAATTTCTGAATGGTTAGCTGATCATATGAAGTTAATCGGAACACATGTATGCTCAGTGTAATTTAGTGTCAGATAATGATACGGCGCCGGCGGGGAGGGGTGCGCAGGGGAGAGTAGAGGAGCAGCTGCGATTGCGAGGAGGAGCGCTGGTAGCGAGGCCAGTCATGGGTCTCGGTGGTGGCAAGGTCAGGGTTCCCCGTCGCCACAGTCGAAGGAAACCCCACGCCCGTGCGGGAGTTTATGGAGATGAAGCCAAACCCAATCACCCACCACGAATTCAACTGGACGCCTGCGCTTATTTTGATGCTCCTTCATAGTGTCCTGAACCAGCAGCAACCTCTCGCGTATTTCAGCGAGGAAGACGTCACGGTCCTGAAGCTGTTGGTCGACCGCAACCACCTTGGCAGTACCTGGAGAGTAAGACACCAGATATACCCTTTTACACTCTGTAGTGTCAAAAAAGCATCATCTTGGACATTGACCTCTATCTCGGAAACATGGTTCTGGCCAACAATTATTTTTGCATTGTATTATAAGTTTATAACATCTACTGAATTGCACTACTATGAAACTATTTTCAAGAAAAAAAGTACTCCCTCCATTCCAAATTATAAGACGTTTTGTTTTTTCTAGATACATAGACTTTGCTACGCACTTAGATATACACTATGTCTAGATACATAGTTAAAACAATGCATCTAAAAAACCAAAACATCTTATAATTTGAAACGGAGGGAGCACTTTTATGTTTTTAGTATGGCTGATCTTAACATTCATAATGCTTTCTTAGTCGAAGTTATCATAATTTGGTTGTATGAAACATGAAAAGGTATGGTTCTGTACTGGGAGAGGGTACCATCTAGGCAGCGACGTTTTCAGTGATGATCGTTGTTTGGTTTATGGTTGTCTTCTCAAATCATTTGAGGATGATGTAATGATATAATCAGTTTCGATGAGTAAAAATATACATGCCCTTGGCAAGTGTCTATGTAACTGCAGAGTCTGATTGAGTAAATTACATTATTTAATTACTATAAGTTGGCCTGAATAATCGACTGACATGCCGTGGATCTGTAATTTTATGATTGACTTGGAATGTTTGCTTATATGACAATAGTTTTGACAATATTGTTGCAGAGAATTGGATAACCGTGTGGCATGCATTTTTTTTATTGTACAGGTGTTATGTGATCGTATCAAACTGTTTATTACTGCAGCGCTATAGTTCTGTGCTACCGTCTCAGACAGAGCTTTTGTTCTATCATGAATTCTTCATCACTGTTGGGAGCTCTGCTTGTATCTGGTAAGTTTATGGGCTATCTGGAATTCATCCTTCAGGAAAGAAGTGCACTAGTTGTTGGTACTCACTACTGAGTGCTGACTTGGCCAGTCAGCCACCATTTCACAAGTCAAAGATCATATTTCTCAAGTTATTTTAATTTTTTAGCATGTTAGTTTATGCATACTCGAAAACATTAGTGATTATGTTTGCATACATTTGGCACTTAGATCATCATTTATGTTTTATAATATTTTTCTAAAGCTTGATTTTTCATTGCTTTAGCGTTTGCATACCAAACTTTCACGTGTCATTTGAATTGAAACTAGGCTATATTTAGATTAGTCTTACCAGTTTAGGCCTCTATTGATAATCTGGCATTAAATCTCTGCGTGTCATTTGAATTTATGCTAGGCTATATGTAGATTAGTTTTGCCGGTTTAGGCCTCTATTGATCATCAGACATTAAATCTCTGCAGTATTCTGAAATGTGAATGGTTGCGCTTTTGAAAATGTACATAGAAAAGTTCCATCCATGCAGCCTAAGTTCATTGCGTCTGAACGATTCATTTCCTGCTCGTTGGTGTACAGAGATTCGCTGTAGAACTAAATGAAAGGATAAATGTTGTACAGAGCTGCACACCCCATTGATGTTGTGCCAGATCAGGAATTCGGTGAGTATCACTGACCTAATTTCAGGCGCCAGTAATTTTGTTTTGTATATTTTTTCTTTCTTAGACTTTCATACCAAGTACGTGAGCTGTTGACAGGTAAATGCAGATAAATGGACTTACTGTGATGAAAAGTACAACTCACGATATTTACACCAGAAAGCAGCAGGGTAGGCACAGAGATATTTCTAGTGCTACTCTTTCCACTCTTTATAACTAGACTCGGTCTCCCTGGTGCCATCTACCCCAGTCCCAACCCAATCCACCGGATAAACTATAGGCTGCTTTGTTCACTTCCCTTTCTTGACAGGTACTGAACCTTATTCTGTGGTAGCTTGGCACGGTTTTCTGTGTTTTTGCCCACCAGCTACACACTGCTAGTCTTTCTTATCAATGAAGTCGGCATTAGGTGTACTACTACTTTAGTTCGATACTTGTGATCCATGCGGTAGCTTGTTAGTTTGTGAGAAATAAACAACTCAACTTCTCTAGGTCCTCTCCTCGTGGTATGGCTGCTTATTGCTGGGCTCAGATTCCAGGACCATCTAAAGACCACAAACCAACTTCTTTTCCACCTCCTACGACTTTTCTACAATTAGCTATGCTTACACGTGCTTGTTTGGCCGTAGGAGAAGCCTCAAGAAGGCAAAGGACGACGGCGAACGCGAGCTAGGCAGATTTGGGCATGAACATCGCTGGGCTCCCTTCTGACATCCTTGTGGAGGTGACGGCTAACATCGCGACAAGGTCTTCGACTCCCCTCAACGACATCGTCAACCTCAGGCGATCGTAAGTCATCCCATTTCTGAATTCTGATCTTCTCTTTGGTTCTGTCTGCTTGGCTGCCGCCATCGCCATGAGAAATACAGTGACCTAACCTTGAGTTGGTGGGCCTGCGTGGCTGCGTGTGAAGGTGTAAGCTGTTCCGCGATGCAACGGCGGCGAGGGAGGTCGGGCGGTGCATGGCCGTTCAGAGAGAGTGGAGGCTGCACTGGTGGGATAAGACGAGGTTCCTGTCCGTGCTTCGGCGGTGCGCGGCGAGCGGCAACCCCGAGGCATCCTACATCCTTGGATTGGTAACGTCCGTAACACAAATTCAAGCAGAGAATCGCATCGGCGTGTACTGAATGTTAGCTTCTCATCTGCCAGGAGCTGTTCTGCAACCGGAGGAGAAAAGCCAGCGGGCTCCGGCACCTCCGACGTGCCATGGAGCATGGCCACGCTGCTGCGGCCTACATGATCGGGATGATCACGTTGCACCAGTCGCGCTCGCCGGGCGGCACCGAGCATGCGCTGGAACGCCTGGACCGGTTGTCTGCGTCTGCGTCCGTCGGCACCTGGACAAGGCGCAGGGTCGCCTCCGTTCGCAGGGAGGCCTTGTCGGTCATGCGAAGGCTGACGATGCGTCGGTGGAGGATGGCCGAGCCTCCGACGCCCTGCTCGAATCCGTGGTGCGGCAAGGCAGAGACGGGGTCGGTGGAGGCCTGGGACGACGGCGACGACGGGGAGAGGAGGTTTTGCAGTCGGACGTGTTGGTGGAAACACGAGTATTGTAAGTTCATCCAGAAGATTTGAGATAGTGTAGCAGGGATATTTAGGATGGAGAGAGTATTGTTATCAATGGTTCATTTTTTTTTGTTCTTTCGATAATACATATGGTAATTTTTGGTGACATGCATCGTAACTTGGGGCCTGGTTGGATCATGACTAAAATTTGTCATGCCAAAAATTTGGCAGCAAAAGAAGTTGGGTAAAAAAGGTTATCAAAGATTTGACAAATCAAATATAAGAAGTTGTCAAGTTTCGATAACCAACCAAATACTAGTCAAAATTATGGCTTGTTAAATTCTTAGTTTGGTAAATTTTGGAAACAGGCCCTTGCTCCTCAAAAGAAGGATAGAAACTAGAAAGGTCCGGAAGAGTGAGGGAAAGAGAGTCCATACTTGCAAGGACACGCCGCACGCGTCCATGCTTGTAGTAGCCACCTAAAATGCCCTTTCAGAGGATTTTTTTTTTGAAGGAAGAGTCACAGTAAGCTCTAGCCACTTAATTGGCTACCCAGGTGATGACAACTCTCCAACAACAAAGGTGCAATTTTTTTTTTTTTGGACCGTGAGCAGCTTGTGAAGACTTTAAGGGATGAAAACCCAATAAAGAAATTAGCACACTGGAGGATTAGACCCACAGTTGCAGAGATTGTAAACAACTCAGCTTCCCAGCCAACTGAATTTTGCAAGATTCCAAGACAATTAAACAAGAAGGCGCATAGACTAGCTAAATATGCTAGACTAAGTGTTTCTAGCTCTTGTACTTTTAGTTGTCAAAACCAGTCCCACGCTGGTAATTGTGAGGTGATACAAACACTACAGGACACCTCTTGGGAAGTTTTTCTTCAATCTCTGTAATATGTTGCTAAATGAATGAATAGGCTTATAAAAAAAAGTTTTGCAGGGCCATCTTCAGAGCATCTCCACCAGATCTCTAATAATCTATCTCCAATATCTATGTATTGGGTAGCTGTGGGGGTATAACCCCAGGTATCCACGGCAATGGACATGGGCCGCACCACCAGGGGAGGTCCAGCCCATAAGATCATGGCCTACGGTGTTCGGCTCTGGTCGGCGCGCACCGCAAGACAATCAGAAGAATCTTGAAGATAAAGAATGATCTGTTCGGATATGATAAATATCGTATTTCTTATAAATACTTACTATATAGCTGAATAGATTTAGATTTAACCGACTTGTAACCCTACCCCCGGCTATATAAGGCGGGTAGGGGACCCCTCAAAACACATGCAATATCATACGACAACCAACACAAACCAACAGACCATATGAGTAGGGTATTACGTCGTGCAGACGGCCCGAACTTGTTTAACTCTTGTGTCTCTGTTGCCTTCTTGTTCTTGATTACGTGCACCTCTGCCGATGTAACACCTCTGGTGTTACGAGCTCGTTTAGCACTGAGATTACGGTCGGAGAACTAGATCTTTAAATAAGTGTCGCTAGTCAACTTGTCTCGGCGCTTAACAACTTTTAAATAATCTTATGAACAAAAGTTGTTTAGGGCTTGTTTTGGAAAAGTACGAAGAAGATGCTTAAAAATGCCTGATAGCAAATAAATAGCGAATGGCTTGTTTATTTGATTCAACTTGAAAAACAATTTTTATAAACAAAAATTTGTTGAAAGTAAAATTTGCTAAATAATAAAACCTTAGAGATTTAGTAATGCTTGTACATGCATAAAGTTGTTTTAGAAAATGGATTTTTAGAAGTTAAAATAATATAAAATATAAACAGCAAAAAATCATATCATCAGCAAGATATGAACATCGTGAATATGTTGGTATGCTTGTTTGGGTGTCAATGTGATGTTTGGTAGTTTAAAAATAAATATGAACGAAATAAAATAAAAATGAACGTGCCGCTGACCACTCATCTCACCTACCTCGCCAGTACCACGCGCGTGTTATGAGATAGGACCGAGCTTGCTGGCCTTGCCGGCTGCTTGCTCTCCCTCCCTCTGCTGGTCTTGCCATGATTGCCTGTCGGTTGTCTCGTGCACCTTTAAGCCGAGGCCGAGCTACAACTGCCGCAGCTCATGCCGTGTTGTCCCTGCCTTCGCCTACTTTTTCTCTCACTCTCTCGGTGTCTGTCGCTGTCTACCTATCTTTCTCTTCTTGCTCCTACGCCGGGCCGCCGCACCTCCTGTCGTCCGTCGCCGGCCCCTCGCGAGCGCGCGCGAGCCCCACGGCCCCTCGCTGGACCTACTGCCCTCCCTAGCGCCTTCCCCGTCGCCGCGGTCGCGGCCTCTACACACCGTGCGCGTGGCCGGCCGCTGCCGCTCCCGTCACCGAAGCCCGCCCTTGCCAGCCACCGCGCCCCGCAGCACCACCACCTCTATCCATCTCTCGCGCGCGCCCGCGTCGCCTTGGCCTGCTCCCCGCGCCCCGACCACACCGTGCGCCCCAGGCTCGCGCTCCCCACGCGCCGAGCTCCGCACCGCCTCACTGCCTGGCTGTCGCGTGAGCTCCAGCTGTTGTGCAGCTGCCGCGTGCCCTCGCCATTGCCCCAGGAAGCACCTTCCCAGCCACGCCTTTCCCCGCCAGCTAGCCCCGATCGGCTATAAAAGTCGAAGTCGAGCAGAGCACCCGTCCACCATAGCCGCCCTTGTGCTCTCCTTTCCTTCTCCAAATTGGCCACGCTCAACTCATCCCCCTCTAATTGCTCGCACCCACGACTGCGCTAGGTCCTTAGCTAGCCTTCGGACGAAGCCTCGACGATATGCGTCCACTGGTGCAGCCGTGCGTGGCCTCGCCATCGTCACGGTTGCCATCGGCGTCGAAGCTTGGCTCCTCCATGGGCATGCTCTCCTCGTCCATCTCCTCCTTGTTTTTACCTCGTCTCGGAGCTACCTTATTACCTTGCCACTTCTGCTGCAACAGGTTCTCCGACGAAGCTTCGTACCCCCGAGAATGATGGCGCTGCTCCGGTTCACCGCCACCACCACGCCGACGCACGCGGGCAGCTCTCCTCGCAGCGTATTCGACCGAACCAACGCCTCAAGCAGTACCTAGGTGAGACCCTATTGCTTCCCCACCCCTCGAATCAATCTGTACCGTGCTCGCCTCGTTGGAGCATGTGCGCCACCGCCGGCGAGCCGCCATCACCGTGTTCATGGAACCCTAGCTCGTCTCTAACCTTCCCGTAACCTCTCCTGGGACCGCGTGGTCCCTGAGCGGGACTCGAGCACCTTTCGGCGACCCCTCCGCCGTCGTTGAGTCCTCCCCGGCCGGGCGTGACGGCCAGCCGGCACGCCAAGAGGTGCGCCCTGCTCTGGGAGATGTTGTGGACCAATTAGATGAGGAGGCAGATAGTTATAGGATCCTTTCTGTAAAACACGAGACTCATATGAATAGTATCACATAGTGTTGTTTACCTCGAGTTAAATAAGGGAAAAGCGCAAGATCCTTTTTGCATAGTTGCGCTCTCTTTGCCTAGGCCCGCGTGGGCGTGGAAGTTGCATATGACCCGGTCTCGCATCACATGACCGGCGCATTTGAATGTGCAGGCTCAGCTGGGCTGCCAAATTTGGACCATTTGTTTATTCTTTAACTGAAGTGATTAAGGAGAATAGGAAATAGCTTATTTCCTGCCTACGTCGTGATATAATGTACCACCTGCCTTGCATGGCCATGCTTTTTGATTAACCCACTTCATTTTAATTGACATGTAATAGCTGTGCTTTTGTCACTATACTTTGCCTTGCCGGCATATATGCGTATATGTCTAATATTCTAGCTTTCTTTTCTTCTTCGTACCCTAATGGTTCGACATTTTTGATTTTTTAGTGAATCAACAAAGTATTTTATTTTCATATGTGCTCTTCGCTAATTTTATTATTTTGTTTAAAATGGTCAAGTTTGTAAATCTCATATAATAAATCAAATAAAAATCATAAAATGGTAAATCCAGCATTTCATTTTCTTTCCCATTGTTGAACTCTTTAATAAAAGTCTATACACATTGAACACATAAAATCATATGCTTAGTACAAGATAATTGTCTTAAAAAATTAATCTAGCGTTTGTTGTAATTAATTAAATTAGTTCCTTTAGTCCAAATGCTATGAAAATTTTATGGTAGGTTCATCATATGGTTAGGTGTCCACTGTAATTTTTGTAGCTTCATAATAATTAAGTTGCTAAGATAGCAAATGAGTCCTAGTTTGAATATATAGTAAATCAAATAAATGAAATAAAGAAACACCTTGGAATTTTATAACTAAAACGCTTGTTTAGAAATGATACCTTTCTTAAAGATGTTGATGCGTAGATCAGTACATTAGTCATTAGAGCTAGCTTGTTAGTTCGTAGCACGTACTCTGTTTCAAGAGTTGTTGTTGTCTTGTTAATTAACTGTTGCATCATCTCTGCATCGCATTGCATACCATAATAGGGACGATGATGGATCGTGGAATCAACTGGAGTAGCTGAAAAGATGGTGTCAGGTGTCATGTTACAAAGATGGAATGCTAACTTTTGGTTATATTTTACCCAGGCAAGCCCCGGTGCACAACCTCTACTTTTTTGCACTTTAAATTATATTTGTGCATTAAGTTTTAAGGAATTGAATGAAATCCACTTGCATATATATATATATATATATCTTTATCCTATGAGTCTTACTAGTATGACAGGATCATATAGATTGCTATGCTACAGAACTCCGGTAAAAGTCGAGTGATTGCTTGTCACTCGCGAGAGATAGGAAATATATTATTATTGTTACTATATTATTATCACTTGGAATATATATGTGAATGATAAATGGAGACCAGGTAGGGATATGATTTGGGTATTGGTGGGTGTAAGAGGTTGTGTCCTGCAGCCAACGGGGCATAGCTAGGTTACACTGTTTTTTCTGTTATTATCGGTTAAGGACCGACCGTTGCATTGAGTTCTAGGCAGGTCACAAACTTATTATTCTGAACATATACTTGTGTATGGGCGCGGAAAGACTTGTTATTCTCTTGTCATGGGTTTTGGCTCTTTTTGGACCGACTTTCAGGGT